ACACTCGAGCCACCACCTCTTCCTTCCGTGAAGGGTCCCCTCGTGGTCTTGTGGCCTTGGCTTTCAGGACCCTCCATGGAGGACCCTCCCTGCTCCCTGTCACCACCAGCACCCTCCCCAAGGTCCCTCCCCAGACACCTGGTGGAAAGTAGGCCAGGAAGATGGGAAGACATCACCCCAGCCCTTGTGGAGCGCCTCCCGCTTGCCCCCCCTCCCCAGAAGCCAGGCACCTGCGCGGCCTCCCTCCCCAGGTCTCAAGGCTCCCCGACGTTACGGTGCGCACGCGAAGGTTGATGTTACTGGGTCCACCGCAGGGGTGAGAGGCAGGTCCTCAGGTCCAGCTTTGGCCAGGGGCTCACTTCGGGCGAGCTTGCCCTGCACACAGCTGGACTGTCGCCTCTCTTCGTGGAGGGAAGGTGAGCGCATGGCCCCAGGGGCCCGGCTCGTGGCAGAGCTTGCCTGGCCCTCCATTCCGGGGTGACTGGGGCATCTTGCTGCTGTTTTGGGGATCTCTTTCATGGAGCAGGAACCCAGTGCTGGCTGCCTCTCGACGAGGCCCCCTGCCCCCAGCTCTGAGGGGCAGTACCAGGGCTGGCTTCATTTGGGTGTCGGGGATCTGCAGACAGACAGGCCTGGTGCCGAGTAGGACCCCCACGTAGTTCAGTGCTCTCTGGGTGCTGGCTTGAAAGTCCCATCTCAGTATTTTCACCTTTGAACGTGTGTTTGCTGCTGAAGGTCCATGGGACAGAAGAACATAGTATGTTCTTGCCATATGCGAGTCCACCTCATTCCCACACGCAGGAACAGAGTCCCCAAGGCCCACGACACGCTCCTTCCCCCAGGAGTCCAGCGTGTCCATCACTGGCCAGCCTTATGCCGGACTCATCCACGCTGCTTGTGAATTAGATCCCCTGTCCCCCACTAGGATGTAGGGTCCATGAGTGCAGGGTTTCCCTTTGGCATGTAGTGTATCCTGTTCCTCGTGCAGAGAAGGTCCCCAATAAAGGTTTTGGAATGAATGGGAGTGGAACCCGGGTGGGCCAAAAAAGGCAAGCTGGATGTGTGGAGCTCTGTACCTCGGGACAGTCCTGGGTCAGCAGAGCCCCCCCTGTGGACAGCCTAGGGGGATACATCTATTTTCTGACATGTTCTGGACAAAGCCATTGGGTGAGTTTTGGCCACGGACACGCCCCAGGACAGCAAGGCAGGGCTCCTTGGGGTGCCCGCTATCATAAACAGACAGGATCAGTGGATTGACCCCAAGCGAGAGCTCCCTGCAGGGCTGGTCATCTGGACTGTCTCACCCCTCATGTCCTCCCCAGCCCTGCCTGGTCCAGAGTCCCCTGGGTCTGACTTTGTGTGGTCACTTTAGTGAGGGTCCCCAGCTTCACCCCCAGACCCAAAGCACCATTTCTGCCCCCCATCTTACGGATTGGGATCACCTTTTGTCAGGAATCAGCCCCAACATCCAGTGGGGTGCAAGGCCTGGGCTGGGGGCTCATGGCAGAGCCCTGCGGCCACCTCCCTCCCCCAGCAGACCTAGGCCCAGTGGGCCCCGGGGCTCCTGGGCTGCTGTGTTGTCCCCAGCCTCTGTAGCCATGCCCTCCCGGAAGGGGAATCTTGCAAGGACTTAGAGATGAAGCCGCCCTGGGTTCAAATCAGATTCCCATCATTTCCAGGCTCCGCGACATCAGGGGCTCCGTCGTTCCAGCCCTGTACCAAGGGGCAGTGCTTGGCATTCACGGAAGGACAGATGGGGACCCCCTCTAACTAGGGTGAGCACACTGGCCAGTGCACCCAGGTGACACGCCTGATGTCCTGGCTGAGCACCAACTGCAGCCCTTGCCCTCCCAACAATGTCCCTGCCCAGACAGTTAGTGACCTGGTCCGGTCACCACGGGTGTGTCTGCCCACAGGATGCAGTGACAGGGACAGGGTACCTCTTCTGAAGGGTGTGCATGAACCAGAAACCCAAATGGAAGCTGACCATCCATCTGCTTCTGAGCCCCCCCACCTCCACCGACAAGAAATACGGACACAGACACTCGACAAGTAACACCCATTAGGGCGCCATCTGCAACACCCAGGACAGGGGCGGGACACAGCGCCGAGCAACGCCCATGCCCTCCATGGACAGTGCTAACGGGAGACTTGCAGGGCCCACTCAGCAAGTTCCGCGTGCAGACCTGTCTCTACAAACCTGCTGTGGGAGAACTTTCAGGGACCAGAGGGTATGTGAGGGGGTGAAGGGACGGTTCACCAAGGGCGGGGAGTGGTTCTGGGGTTTCCCTTAGAGGCACCCATGAAGAATTTCCAGCCCAAATGGTATGTCGGGATTTGCTTCAAAGCAATGTGGGGGTGGGAGAGGCGGGGTGCGTGGGGCGGGAGTGGCCTGCACCCCTTGTGGATGCTGGTGATGGAGGCTTCCCAGAGGCTTATCCGGGGCCCCAACACCGGCCAGCCTGACCACACGCTCATGCACACTGCTTGTGTCCCCTGATAGAAGTTCCTGACACTTCCTGGTACAGAAAAGGTGTCCAATAAAGGTTTTAGAACTTTTGCATATGCCTGCGATTTTCCAGAATAAAAACAAAGCAAAAGTGATAACACTTAGGTTTGCGGAGTTTCCTAGCAGCACGCCGGCCCAGGCCTATGGCGAGGTGGGGGGGGCTTTCCTGTGGGCCCAATCTCCCATGCTGTCCTCCCCCAAACCCATGTGTGATGGTCCCACTGCCCCACCACCCTGTGTCCAGGCCTCTCCCAGGGATTAAGGAGAGGAGTCCCCGGAGCTGTGGTTCAGTGAGGTCATGGACCAGGCAGTGGGTCCCTAGGAGAAGGGTGTGGGATGCCCCCTTCAGTCCCTTGGATGAGGCCCGCTCACTCGGCCCTGCAGCCCTGAGCCATAGCCGCGTTGCTGACCCTGGCCCAGCCCGAGCCTCATCAGACCCACTGACCCCGTCACTACGGCTACCCTGGCCACCTGCTCTTTGCCAACACTGGAGGTTCACCTCCCGGGGTTCCAACGGCTCTGGCCCAACCGCTCCCTTTCAAAGGAAGGGGTGCCTTCAGCACCCTCAAGCAGCCTGGGGGATCCCCGCCAGCCCCGCCCCACCCCTGCAATAAAAGAGAGCTTTGGGCCCAGCGAGACTTCAAAGCACTCGAGGCCCAGGTCAAAGGTAGGGCTGAGTAATCTCTGCAGGCTCTCTTGGCTGGGGGAGTCTGGGGGGGGGGCTTCCTTGTTCCTCTCAAGGAGCCGGTAAACAGGGGCGGGCAAAGGCCTCAGGCACCAGGGCCGGGGGCCAACACAGGGCGCCAGACCCGAGGGCCACCGCTCAAATCCCATGACCTCATAGGGCTGTTACCCCCTATTTGTGTGTACCCCAGCTGGTGGTGAGCAGTGGGGATCTGAACAAGGCAGCCTGGACCCCAAGCCCTCAGCCCTCCCACAGGTCAGACCTCTTCGGGCCCCAGACCCTCATGCCAGGCAGCAGGCCCCCCACGCCCCCCCAGACCTCAGCTTCCCAGCTGTGAGGCAGCCCTGCCTGGACCACCCACCAGCTGCCTGCCATGTGCTGGAAGCTGCCAGCCCCACAAGGTGCTCAGGAATTGCTTTGGCGCAGTGGTGACCAGGCTGGACTCCCAGACCTCACACCTCTGGCCCCATCCCACAGAGCAGGGCGTGGAGTCCAGGGAGAGGTGACCAGAGGGGCTCAGTCCTGCTGGGTCACACCATCCCACCCAGGCCCTACCCTCACCTGGGAAATGGGGGCCTCAGGGCATGAAGAGGGCACCACCAACACCAGATACACAGCACTGATTTATTTCTGAAGTCCACCTGCCCTAAAACAGGTTTTCCAAAAAGGCCGGTCCCCAGCCGGGAGCACTGCCTGCATCCACCCAGCCGCTGCAAGGTGATGCCTCCCAGGGACACCGCCCCTCGGGGGACAGCGGGTGTCCAGATCTTGGCCAGGTTGGAAAATTCCAGTAGTGGGGTGGGGCGGGAGTAGACAATCTTTATTGTGTTCCAAGTCTGGGGATTTTTTTTCGTACAAAAATAAGTCTTCATATTGCCGGTGTCCCTGGGCAGTTCAAACTAATATGCAAAAAAGAGAAGTTCTGTGTCGCTATAAAATCCTCTCCCCTTCAAAAATCTCCGTGTTGGTGCCCCAGCCCCATCCCAGTGGAGAACCTCTGGGGGCAGGGTGGTCGGGGTCCGAGGAAGCTGCCAGCCAGGCGGGGTCAGGCCGGTACGTTTCCACACTGGCACTTAGGTTGGACCGCACGGGGGGGGGGGGAGACCGTCGGCGGAGTCCCGGCTGGGTGGTGGCTTCGCCCACGGGGACTGTGGGCCCGAGGCGCGGGCCACCCACCTCGCTTCCGCGTGGTGAGCGTGCTCGCCGTTCCGCGTCCAGGGCTGGGGCTGCTGGGAGGGGAGGGGGGACGGGGACGCGCATTAGTGCGGGATCCGGCCCGGCCCCACCACCCACAAGCGAAGTCTGCATTTTCCTTTGCTTGGTTGGTTTTGGAGCTCCAGTCCGTGGGTGCCTCGGATTCGGTCTGCGGCCCCGACCAGGGCGGGGGCGGGGCGGGCGCTCCAAGCCGCAGTGAGTCAGGGTTCCTCACCCGCCGACTCATTTCTGCCACCCGACCCGGGCGCGCGATTTGCAATGCAAAGTCACCCCGCCTCCCAGAGCCCTCCTCGGCCCCGGGATCCGCGTGCACTCGGGGCCTCACCCGCCCGAGGGCCCCCCTCCCTGCTCCCCCTTCGGTGCAGCAGCGAGAGGAAGTTTTGCAATCCCGGACAAACAAACGCCGGTCTTGCACAGGCTTGAAAAGTTTGGGGAAAATGAAGAGTGAGCGAAATCAAAGCCGTCACCCGGGCCTGGCGCTGCGCTTGGCTGCTCCCGGGGACGTGAGCCGCGAGGCTGTCCACTCCACCCCGCCCGGCTGCCCCTGCGCCGACCCCCCTGTTCCCCGCCGCGGGAGGTTACCTCGGGGAGGGGGAGGAGCGCTCAGTAGCCCCCTAACCAGCTGGAGAAGTCGAGCAGCTCGCGCTCCACCGGGCTAAGCGCGCCCTCGCAGCCGCTGTCGTCCGAGGAGTAGGCGGAGCGCGGCGAGCCGGGCTCCGAGCTACCCCCGCGGCCCGGGGACGACGAAGCGCAAGAAGGCGAGGCGACGGCGGCGGCGGGGGTCCCGGGAGGCCCGCAGGACGCGGGAGGCCGCGCGGCTGGCGCCAGCAGCCCCTCGGCCAGCGCGGCACGCACGGCATCGTGCTCGGCCAGCAGGCGTTGCAGCGCGCGGATGTACTCCACCGCGGAGCGCAGCGTCTCCACCTTACTCAGCTTCTTGCTGGCGCCGCCGTGCGGCACGTGCTGCCGCAGCGCCTGGAACCCCAAGTTCACCAGCTTCACGCGGTTGCGCTCGCGCTCATTGCGCCGCGCCACGGCCGCCGCGCCACCCCCGGTCTCCGTCGCGCCCGGCTGTCGCCGCCGGCTGCAGCGCAGCAGCTCTGGGGACGTGGGTCGCCGCCGAGGAGCGCAGCCGCCCGAGACGCCAGGCGCGGAGGGCGCGGGCAGGGGCAGCGCACCGCTGTCCATCGCGCCCGCATCCACTCGCCCCGCAACTCCTCCGAGCCCTCGCGCGCAGCAGGAGGGGCGGACAGAGGAACGGGGGTCGGTGGGAAGACGACAGAACCCCAAGGGAGCCCCTGGCACTGTGCCGCGGAGCGACTCCCCAGGGTACGCGTTCCAGGTCGTCTGGGGCCCAGGGACAGCGAGGCTCAGGAGGCCAAGAGGTGGCAGGCCGTGCGCGCCTCGGAGCGTGGGGCGCTCGTGTCCCGCGCGTGCGGCCGGACCCTCCCCAGGTCTTCCCAGCGTGGCGCAGGCGGCTTGGTTTTAAATGTATAGATAACCCTCCTCCGCGCCGCTGCCGCCTCCTTTCTCACGCCCTCCTTCCCTTGCCTCGCCCTCCCGCCACGCTTCGCCCTCCCCCTTGCGCACACAACCTGCAAACACCAGGGCGTGAGCGCGTTCCCCACCCCATCTCCCCGGGCGGAGTCTGCAGGTCCCCAGTGGGCCCCAAGCTCCCAATAGGTGCTTAGTGAGTCCCCCAAGGCGCAGTGCGCAGGTCCCGTGTGCGCCCCCCGTCCGACCTCCGGGCGCTGTCAGCAGGTCTCCGGTGCGACCCCGCTGCCTGAGCCGAGTCCACAGATCCCGGGTGCAACTGTCCGGTACCCCTACCCCACGCTGCGCGCGCCCGCTATCCCCAGAGCTGTTGATGATCCGCACGCGCAGCGCGCACCGTGGGGAGGAGGACGTGGCCTCGTGAAGGCTCACCTATCCCGGAGGCGCGCGAGACCCCCAGGGACAGCACGCGCCGCGCCTTCGGTCCCCGCGCCACCCCCCAACACCTCTCCCCCACCGCGATCCAGGGGGCGGGGGCCGGGGTCTCAGCCAATCGCGGGCGGTCCGTTCGGCCAATCGCGGAGGGCGCGGCCTCACGCCCGGCCCCCCGAGAGGAAGCGCGTACGCCAGGCGCGTGGCTCCCGGAGCGTCGCTAACAAAGCTGGGTGCTGCCAGGCGGCTCCCCGCTTACACACCTGCTCCGCGCCCCGCCGCCCACCTACGTTATTCCTCTGCAGAGAGTGGGAGAGGGTGATGCGGCCCTTCGGGCAGGGCGGGATTGGAGGAGTGGTATGCTGGGGTGGAGAGTTCAGGTTCCTGGGGCGCCTTTCACAACATCCCTGCGCGCACACATTCTGCCTGTGGTTTCCAGGTGCCCCCAGCCTTGGGGAGCCTGGAAGCCCAGGGTCTGGAGGTTTGAACGGCCGCTGCGGACCCGGGCGGCGGCCAGCCTTTGCCCTGGCCCTGCAGCTTCATTTCCCATATTGCCCTAACCTGCCCCCACGTTCTGCCTTCTGGGCCCCTTACGCTCCGGCTCCTCACCTTTGGTGCCGACCCGCTATCCTGGCCCTGGCTCCGTTTTCCTCAGCCTCCCACCCCCGGCTGGGGCCTCCCTCTCCCACCCGACCAGCCCTGAGACTGAGCCGGTGGGGGAAGGTTCCTGGAAAGCTGCCTCGCGCCAGGGCAGAGCCTGGCCTCCCAAGGCGGGGGGGAGGGACAAAAGGGTTTCTCCCTGACAGATGGGGAGGAATGTAGGGTCCTGAGGGGGCAGGGACTGCGGAAGTGTGCAGAATGCACCCTAAGTGGGAGAGTTTTTCCTGCCCCACTGCAGGGGAATGCCTGCCAAGTGGCTGGGCCCTCAGGAGGCCATGGCCCTGCCGGGTTTTGCCGATGCTGACCAGATCCTCTTGGGCCAGGTCTGCTGGAAAGGAGTTCTGCCGGGAGCCACTTCCCATTCTGGCTGGGGAGAGGCCCTGGATTCCTCCCCAGGGATTCCCCCCGGGGCCTTGTGGTGTCCACTGGCTCCCAGTTACTCTGCAGGATCTCCTGGCAAGTTGGCTTGGCCTTCTCACTTTGGAGTGTGACCTGGCGGCTAGCACCTGCCTGGGGCCAGGTGGGGATAGGGCCCCATTGTTGCAGGAGGAAGCTGTCTCAGAGAGGACACGGACTGTGTCCACAGTCACACCTCTGGCCAGTGGAGCGATCCAGGTAGAGATCAGGGCCTGGACTCTGAGTTCAGGAGGCTCAACCTTCTTCCCTGTCCAGGACAGGAGCCTTGGCTCCTCCTCTCTCTGGTCAGAGACCCCTGTCCTTCCCTGGTGTAAAGGTAGTTGGCAAAGCCCAGCCGGAGATGGATGCCATGTCAAAGGGAAATCCCCAGCATCCCGCAGACAGGCTCTTGGCAATCCTTGCCTGGACTTGCCCTCAGTCTCTGGGGCCCAGAGACCCTCAGGTACCTGTTCCCACACAAGAGACTACCCAGGCTCTGGCAGCTGCCCCAGTGGTTGCATATTTCTCGGGATTCTCTGGTGGTGCCTCTGCCGGCTGCCACAGTTGCTTTCAACTGTGGGGTCAGCTTGGGGGGCTGCAGGAAGGCTGGGCGGCTGGGTCAGGCTCTCCACGTGGCCCTCCTCCTACACTTCACGTCTGGGCTCCCAATGCCAGAGCACAACCTAAAGGGTGTGGAGCTTCTTTCTGAGATGGTGCAAATGTTTTCAAATCGACTGTAGTGATGGTTGCAGAACTCTGGGAATGTGCTAAAAACCACTGAACTGTACACTTTATTTTTAAATATTTTATTGATTTATTTATTTGAGAGAGAGAGCGGGGAGAGGGGCAGAGGGAGAGAGAGAATCCAAGCAGACTCCCTGCTGAGTGTGGAGCCCATTGTGGGGCTCAATTTCACAACCCCGAGATCACGACCTGAACCGAAACCAAGAGTCAGATGTTTAACCAACTGCGCCACCCAGGTGCCCCAAATTGTACACTTTAAATGGATGCGCTGGGTGGTATGTGGATTCTATCACAATAAAGTTGTTAGAAAAATTGCAAACATAAGCATGCTGCCTTGTCAGGGCTCTGCCCTCACCCTGGCACCCTCGATAGCTGGTTGGCACACTCACTCCCGGGTTCTGCCCACTCTTGAGTCTCCATGCCTGAGATGTAGGACAGGGGTGGGTAAGCTCCCCCCTCCTCCGCCCTTGGCACCCACCATTCCCCTTTCTGTCTGTGAATTTTACTGCTCTACATCCCCAAATATATAGACTCCTGCAGCATGTGTCCTTTTGTGCTTGGCTTCTTTCGTTCATGTGATTGATGTCCTCCAGGTCCATCCACATTGTGGCAGGTGTCAGAATGGCCTGCCTTTTTCAGGCTTTGTGTGGATGGACCACATTTCGTTTATCCATTCACCCATCAGTGGACACTTGGGGTCCTTCCCCTTTGTAATGGTTGTGAATAACACTGCTGTGAACGTGTGTGTACACATCTCTTCCAGACCTTGCAGTCTCTTATTTTGGGAGGTACATCCAGAAGTGCAATTGCTGATCACGTGACAATCCTACCTTAAGCTTTCTGAGGCCCCTCCACACTGAGCTCTGGAGCAGCAGCATCAGTCCACGTTCCCACCAACAGTGGACAGGAGTTCCAGTTTTCCACATCCTCACCAACACCTGTCACTCTCTGGGGTTTTTAATAAGTTTTTTGATAGTAGCTAATGTATGTGAATTTTTTTTGACCACCTGAAACTGTGACAAGTGTTCTCGGTTTGGGGGCTGTACAAAAACAGGTAACAGGCCACATCTGCCCATGGTTTGCTGACCCCTACACTGGATGATGGGCATGTCCCCAAGGCCTGAACCACTCGACGGTCATCATCTCACGGGCTCCTCAAAATTGACTTGCTGCAGGCTGAACTGTCTTTCCTGAGCCCATTACTCCGCCCAGTCCCCTCCCCAGCCAGTGCTTAGGCAGCAGTGTTGGAGCTCCCACCTGCTCCCTCACCCTCTGCTGTCCACCAGCCCTGCCACCTCTCCAGCCACATCCCCATCTGCCCTCAAATGCTGCCTTCACCTCCCCCGCTAGTCTCCTGGGTTCTGGCTTTGCCTCCTCTCCTCTGTCCACGGCCTCAGAGCAGACCTTATGGAGGCAAGAGAGGGTCATGCCTTCGCCCTCGGGATTAATCCAAGCTCCTTTGCACATTGCCCCCACCCCGTCACTGGCATTGTGTTCAGCTTCGACGTCACATCACCTGGAAGCCTGCCCTGCCCCTTCCACAGCCCCTGCTTCACACAGCCTGTCCCTCAGCATGCCTCCCTGGCCACGTCCAGAGGGAAATATGCCCTTCTCTCCCTCTGTGTTCCTGGAACACCACCCATGTCTGACACATGGTGGTGCTCTGCCAAGAGGGGCTCACATGCAGCAAAGGGGATCAGGAGCTGGCTGTTGGTGGGAGTGGGATGCAACCCAGGGAAGGACAGTCCCTTCGCATCCAAGGCCAGCTCTGCCACTGACCCTGAGCAATCATGGTATCTCAGGTCCCTGCACACAGTGAGGGCAGGCCGGCCCCTGCTCTAGAGGTACTTGCTGAGTCTGAAATCACCATGGGCTCCATGGGACTGGGGAGCAGAGCTCCAGAAGTCTGGGGTTGGAAGTTCTGGGTCCCCAGCATTGGAACAATGGGGTTGTATCTGGATCCTCTGGGGTGTTCCCCATTGTGAGATTGGACTGGGCCTGCATGGGGGCAGCAGCAGAGGCACAGGTGACTGCATGGTCCCTGGCTTGGTGAGCAGGGTGACCACTGACTGGTTTGGTCTGGGCTCCCCACTCACTCCACACATAGCCCGAGGCCCCTGGCCAGCTCCGTCTCTGCCCCTCAGAGGCTCTGGGCTCCTAGTTGTGTTCTCTGGGTCAGGTCATGAGTGGGGAGGTGGGGAGCCCAGCTGAGCTAGGCTGGCACCTTCCCCAAGCATACAGCTCTGGCTGTAGCCCTCATGTGGGTCACATCTGTGTGTTCAGATCACTTGGGAGCCTGGAGCCTTCTGGAATCCAGCTGCAGGGGAAGCAGGAGTCATTGGAAATGAGGTACATCCAGATGCTCAAGCTTTGGGTCCATGGATGCGGCATAGATGCACCAGCCAGCATCCTCCAGAGATACAGCAGGAGGAGATAGAAGGAGGTGTAGGTTACAGACTGATTCAGGTGCTCAGGAGGCCTGGGATGTCCCACCGTCTGCCACATGAAAGCCGGGGACCCAGGAGGGCTGGTGGGGTGATTCAGCCCGAGCCCATTGACCTTAATCCAGGGTGGTA